AGATCTGAAGTTCAGAACTAACACACAGGAGTCAGTGTGCAGGACTGGAATGTAGTTAGCTAAATATATACACCCATTAGGCTGGGAATTAGGGATGAGAAGGGAAGAAGAGGGAGAAGAAAAACAGCCTGAGAGTCAGTCTTCACCTGTCCAGCATGGAGCCCACCTTGCACCTCCCTCACACGGAGTAGCTGACGCTGGTGCTTGGCAGGAGCTCCTGCAGTGCAGGACGCCGGTGACCTCGAGTTTCTGTGACAATAACAGTTTCTGTGATGGACAATAACAGATCCATTACTTTCCGCATGGAAGCTGCTGTCGTGCAGCAGCTGGCCTGTGTCTCCCAGCACAAGTGTTGGGAATAAAGAGGGAAGTGACTGTGCTCCTTTCTCCCTTCTGCCTCACAGCAATTTAAGCACTGGGCTCAGTTTGGATGTGGTCAGTTTTTCCAACTAGTTTTAGACTTACCAGACTTGCCTTGTGCTACTCATGGCCTTTTGTCTGTGTTCCTGGACTGCTGCTTGCATTTTGACTTGCCAGCTTATTAGTCTGGATACCTGTGGGAACTCCTAAAAATATATTTTCATTATATATTTTCAGTACTTTTCACAACAATTTCAACTCTAAATCATGGATGTGAAATGGTCAGTTCTAGAGTTGCTTTTAAATAAACCGATGTGACCAAGCACTTCCAAAAAGGTCAGTACTGAACGTGTAGCCTAATACAACAAAACAAGTACCATGAAAAACATCAAACACGTGAATTGTACGTCACACAACTGCTGTCTCAGACTCAGCTTATAAAACACACAGATACCAGACTGCCTGCTCTCAGGGCACTGTTACCCAGTTCCATTATATCTGAGAGCACTGTATTCATGTTCAAATCAGTCTAAGAAGGCTCATCGACCTAGAAAGCTGTAGTTTTAGCATCTCAGCAGCCCCTGGAAGTGGAACAGAAGCCTGGAAAAGAGAAGGCTCGGGCGTGACCTAATTGTGACCTTCCAGTACCCAACGAGATCCAACAAGAAAGATGGAGAGGAACTTTTCACAAGGCCATGTAGTGACAGGACAAGGGGGAATGGCCTTAAACTGAGAGTAGGTTTAGATTAGATATTAGGAAATTAGATATTAGGAGGAAATTCTTTACTGTGAGGGTGATGAGGCACTGGAACAGGTTACCCAAAGAAGTTACAGATGTTCCATCCCTGGAAGGCCAGGTTGGATGGGGCTTTGAGCAACCTGGTCTAGTGACCATGGCAGGGGGTTTGGAACTAGATGATATTTAAGATTCCTTCCAACCCAAGCCGTTCTCTAAGTAGACCACAAAAGCCACAACAGGCTGTTATATTGCTTGCAGTCTCCCCAGCTGAATCT